GTCTATTCTGCAAAAGTTATCTTTCTAAAAAAATCGGAAGATAAGTTTCGCATGGTTTAACAGCTGTGCTTATCACCCAGTGATATGCAGTGAGCTTTTACATAAAACGAGCCATTTCACAGACAAAATTAATGTACAAATAAGAGCACAGCTTCCAGAGGGACAGCACCCAGTGTGTTAGGAAATTTTGGAGGAGTGAAGGACTGAATTGCATTAATGTACTATGCATGTGTCAAACAAATGTGACTTAAGAGTTGGATATGGTGCATATGACTGTGACCCCAGCAACTGGGGAAACTGAGGCAGGAGGATTTAAAGTTATCAGGTCAGCCTGAGCTATATAAATGAGACCCTGAGACCCTGTGTTTGAAAAGGGCTGGTGGGAATGGAAACACAGACCAATGGTGGAGATCTTGCTTAGCAAATGTGACTAGGAGGTGAGGGGGAGCAGATGATTTGTTTGCAAATTTCACCTAAATTTCTGAAAGTTTAAAAATATGCCACTTGCCAAAAGTTGATCTTAAAAGATGCCATCGGAGTTCAAGTTTTTCTAAGAACCAATTAGCCAAGTGTCCAAGGAAGTTTTAGTACTGTCATCCTTTTTCACTCCTATCAAAATTCTCTACTCCAACATCCATTCATCAACTGGAGTTAGGATTCCTTTCAGATATATGCTTTACATTCTGTGGTACTCTTGGTTTTGAAAACAAAAACAAAAGCTCAATGGAGGGTGTGTGAACAGCTCGGATTTGCTGCCAAGTCTGATGATCCCAGATAGCCTTGGGTTGCTTAATCTCACCTTTTCTCTACTATAAAAGGCATATAATAGTTATAGTAAAGTTTTGTGGAGATTAAGAGAAACATAAAAGGCACCTTGTTATGTACTACCTTTCAAAATACACTCTCACAAAAAAATAAAATCACTCTTTGGGTGTGACTTAAATCTTCCATGCATTTTTAAAATAACAGCTTTATTGCGATGTGTTGCCCTTTTTATATTAATTTTAGTTCATGACAAACTGACTGTCCTGGCTAGTTTTACGTCAACTGGATACAAGCTAGGGTCATTTGAGAGCATCAATTTTTAAAATGCCTCCATAAAACCAGTTATAGGCAAGATTGTAGGGCGTTTTCTTAATTATTGATTGATGGGGGAGGGCCCAGTTCATGTTGGGTGGTGCCACCCCCCGGCTAGTGGTCCTGGGTTCTAAACAAAAGCAGGCTGAGCAAGCCTTGGGGAGCAAGCCAGTAAGCAGCACCCCTCCATGGCCTCTGCATCAGATCCTGCCTCCAGGTTCCTGCCCTGACTTACCTCAGTGATGGACTGTGCTGAAATAAGCCTTCCCCCCCCCGTGTTGGTTTTGGTCATGGCGTTTTATCACAGCAACAGGAAACTCCAACTAAGACACTGTATTACTGCCTTTACTGGACAAATATATAATATTGTTGAAGGAGAATGGTTTCATCTCAGTACTGAACTCAAACCAGCTTCTAACATGTACTGAATTCTGGCTAGGAATGTAGCTCGGTGAAAGTATACTTAACCTACTACATGCAAGGCCCAGGGTTCTAACTCCAGCATACTGAACTCTTGTGAATCAGCAACTCTTGAAGTGACATGTGCAATTGTAAAATTTATACACTTAATAACCTGTATAAAAATGTTCTTTATTGTAATAAGCAATGGTCTAGAATTCATAACTCAGAGATTTCCCATCAGGACACAAGGAGGAACATAGATGACCCAGTTTTCACACTATCATAGCAGCTTGTGAAAGCAAGATCTTACATGTGTGCAAGCTGACTTTGCAGAAGTGACTCCTACGTTCTAAGATCTATGGCTCATCTCTTGGAATTCGAGTAAGATGAGCAGATCTCAGACAGGCTGAGCTGGTTGAGAAGCCTCCTGGAAGGCGGGGATGGTAAGCCAAAAGGCACTTAGAAAAGTTAACACTCAATTAGAAATGTACTGTGTATGTTCAATGATGTAGGACAGTGAGGATTTAAAGGAATTGCTGCCTGACTGTAGGCTGGGAGTGAAATCCTGAATGAATGTGTTTTGACACAGGCAGAAATGGTGAGGACCCCAGAGTCAACTGGCCTGTCTGTCATAAATTGACAAAACTGTTACCCATATGGGTCAGACTCAAGAAGAATGCCAAAGTTTTTCCTTGGAAGCATGATTATGAGTGTTTATGAATGACTGATCAGTGTGTGCAAAGACTAGCAACTGTGCCTCCTCCTCCTAATGTTCTTTTGGTTTGTTTTTGTTTGTTTTTTCGAGACAGGGTTTCTCTGTGGCTTTGGAGGCTGTCCTGGAACTAGCTCTTGTAGACAAGGCTGGTCTCAAACATCCGCCTGCCTCTGCCTTCAGAGTGCTGGGATAAAAGCCATGTGTCACCACCACCTGGCTCTCCTCCTCATGTTTAAGGCCAAGACTTCACCTGCAGAGATAAGATTAGAGACTGGCTAACTCCTCGACCTGTTCTAGTAAACATACTGAGGTTCAAGGTATGGTCGACACAGTAGATTGTTATTTAGAAAAAAAAAAGGAAAAAGAAAATGCTATTGACTTGAGTTCTCCACAGATGGACTTCAGAATGGTGATGTTGAGTAACAGGACCCCACTTATAGAAAATTCTATAAAACGTAGACTCTTGAATAGTGACAAGGCAGATCAATGGTTGGTGAGAGAATGGGGTGAGGAGGGGAAAACTGGTCATAAGGCAGAGAACAAAGAGAAAAATCTTTGGAGGCAATTACAATATGGCTTCATAGATGTATGTACGAATAGTTCAAAACAACAAATTTCATACTTTTTTTTTTTTGAGACAGGATTTCTCTGTATTGCTTTGGAGCCTGTCCTCTGTCCTGGAACTCATTCTTGTAGACCAGGCTGGCTTTGAACTCCCACAGATCAACCTACCTCTGACTCCTGAGTGCTGGAATTAAAGGCATGCTCCACCAACGCCTGGCTCAAATTTCATACTTTAACCCATGCAGCTAGTTGAATATCAATTATGTCTCACAAAAGTCTTAGGGAAAAAAACTGGGAGAATGACATAAACAGACAAATCTTTGAGGAGTTATGCCAAGAGGTATATCCTGTCTAACCTGCAGTCTATGAGGCACATGTGCCCTAGGATAGCCATGAATTGTTCTGTTTGTCAACACTGTTGTCCCGAGTTCACCAACACCTTGGATCAGTTGCCCGTTACTTTTTATGTTGCTGGGTAATGATCCATTGTAAGACATACCACAGTTTTACCATTTCCCTGTAAATCAACAGATTAAAACCACAAATTTAATGGAAAAAGAACACCCCAATATGCTGAGGCTCTTGCTTGTGAACATTGAAGAGTTCCACCTGATCCCGATTCACTGTGCATGTTGTCTGTATACGTCTGTCTTTTCACTGTACATGCTGTCTGTGTGTCTGTCTTTTCACTGTACATGCTGTCTGTACATGTGTGTCCTTTCTTCATTCTCTCTCCACCCCAGCCAGGGTTCTGGAACACAAGCCACATAGGATGTGGCAAGTGACCAACTCTGAACTTAAAGAACTCAGTATTTTCTTGTGGCCTCAAAGCAACAGTTAAAATAACAAAATATAATTAAATATATGAGGCAGACAGTAACTTCTACAGGCTTTAACACACATACACACGAGACAGGTTTTTCTAGGGTAGGTGGATGGTACAAGGGTACAAGGTATAGTAATGATTTAGGTTATTATGGGTGAGTAGAAGTCAGTAAGGAAAGAAAGTCTAGACAGACCAAGGATAATGCCGGAAATGAGGACCTCTCCATGCTCAGGCCTGCCTCTTCCACATACTGACATTCTCTGTCTTTTGACTGTATCGTCTTTGTCAGGTTCTTCTGCAAAGTCCCCAGAGCCCACCATAAAAACAGAGGGCGCCCGAGAGTGACTAAGAGCACTGGCCATAGTCCATCACTTTTGGGGTCAGTGAGACCTCATTTGCCAACAGCTCCAAAAGAGGAACCTCATTCTTGGCACTGGAATTTTCATGTGTTATCCTGTGGTGTTTGCCACACACCTGAGTAACAGGCCATGGGACATCAAAGTGGGACTTGTAGGCTTTATCCCGCGTCTCTAACACTGGAAGGTTCTATGCATGCTACCTGAGAAGAAAAGGAATAACCAGTCTCACCCAGCTGTGAACCCTGAGAAACTGTAACAATTATTGGCCTGGCAAAACATGCCCACTCTTATGACGGTGGCATAAATATCATGGGACTAACCAACCACTTTCTGATTAATTTTAAGGCCTGCTGTACAAGTTGAAACCCATACCTAGCACTATTATCAGGCCTTAGGGGAGAACCTGCTTCTATTACTCTGTTAGTGGACATAGTATTAAACTGACTCCTAATGACTGATCATTATGTCCAGAGAGTAGTGCATCTCTCAACCCCCATAGGGAAGCTTCTCTTTAAAGCAGATGACAATTAACAGAGACCCACAACTGGTCAAGGTGCAGAGAACAAGAGACTGGAATTCTCAGCCCTAAGCATGACGTCTATATCATGTCTCCTCCTGCCAGGGCTGGGATCTCAGCAGAAGTGGGGCTGGGAGACTGTAAGGACCAGAGGCAGTGGGCAACTACAAGGAAACAATGTTTTCTGGATAGACCTGCACAAGCGCAAGCCAGACCAACACTCAGCAGGGAGGTGAAGTCCCACCCCTGGCTAGGAAGCTGTTGGCAATAGCTGCTGGGTTTTCTTTAAGGGTGTGGCCTTCAGTTAAGACCACATATCCTGGAGTATATAGGGGGCAGAAACTGCACTTCAAAGGTTTTAAAAAGTAAAAAAAAAGAACAAAACAACTTCCCCCAAAAGTCCATGGTTGGCATGCACATCATCGTATATTGTGTTTACTGTATGCATAATAAATTCATACTTGCATATAATTCCCCAGGGACTCCCAGTGTAAGACCACAGGAGGAACTCTATCAGCAATTTGAGAGACTTTTCAGGGGTCATTTTGAGCATGCTTTATTTTGACCTTAGGCAATGAAGATGCAGAGATGGTTGGGCAAAAGATAACCTTTTAAATATGTGTGTGTGAAACTGACTAACACACGTTCTGGTCAGCTTAGTCTAATAACCAGGAACACATGGTAACCCATCCACAAGAGCGCCAAATTGGTCCACAGTGAAATCTGAATCATGAGTTTTAAAAAGCTTACGACTCGTTTCCTGTTTTTTTTAAGATACCATTATAAAACCTCAAAGACAACTCATAAACAATACTTAATAATTATAAAGTAGGAAAATTCTCATACTGGATGTGTGACTAATCATTTATCATTTTCATGTATTTTACAGAGAATTCTAAAAAGAACACCAAGGTAAGAAAATTAGTTTAAAGTTTCACAATAATTTGACTCTATATACATTAACACTAATCATGTAACCCTGGAAACAGTCTTCAGTTATATAATGTAAAATGCTTTTCTTTACAGAAACTAAACTATATCATTATAAACTTACAAAGAGAAAGTGAGAGAACAAAAATTATACAGTGATGAGCACCAAAGTCAAATATTTTTGCACTCAGGGCTTGATTGGTTTGTATTTAAACATGGCCTGTACCTAAAGGACCAAAACAACACATTTGGCAAGGGAAAAAAAAAAACTCAAAAGATAAACAGTGATTAAAAAAAAACATTTTTTATCAATGTGACTTTTTCAAAGTATATTTATGTCATTTTTCTTTATCTTTCATTCACATTCTACAACTCGGATTGCTCCATTTTCTGTTAATTTGCTGTCACACTAAATAAACAAAATGTATTATGTGTTTGTTGTGATGAATCTAAACCATCAAAGCTAGAGTCAGCAGCTCCTATAACCTGACAACCTTACAGCCAATCCAAGTGGTGGAAGAGATTATCAGTAACCTGTTGATTTAAAGAACCTCAGTCAGATAAGTGTGTGTGTGAGTTTGTGTGTGTGTGCGTATGTGTGTGTGTGTGTGTGTGTGTGTGTGTGTTGTAAGTCTGCCAGAGTCATGTGACAGGCTGTGCCACCAAGAGAGACAGAGGTGTGACACACTAATAAACTGACACAATGGTAACCAACCCCTAGAAGATTTGGGTAGCCAACACTGAATTAATCAAAAAGTGAACCTGAGATAAGCAATGAGGTAATTAGGGAGATGTCACCACACCTGAAAATAAGTGACAGACTTGTAAAACAACACTAGGGGAGGCTGCCTTGGTCACAGCATTCTCATGAGACGTCATGATACAGAAGCAAGGGGCAGCCACTTCCCAGGAAGGATCAGGGGTGGAGTTCCCTGGTTTGCAGCTGAGGACACTGGCACTTCTCCAAAGGTCATCTGCAGTGGTCTCCACCTCATCCAGAGAGTATCCTCCAGCTCCCGTGTCCTAAGCACCCTTTCCTGTATGTAGCTCCAAGGTGACACTATCACGACCCTTTCACTTAGAGCTAAGTCTCTAAAAGGGCTCCCTGAGTTTGAGGCAATGCCAATGCGGTATACATATGAAGTCAGGCAACTCAGTTAAAAACTCCAGCAATCTCTAGGTGATAAAGTCAGTTTTTGCTATCAACGATATTTTTCTCTCCCATGCTTCCTCCACACAACTTATATATACCCAGGGCATGAGAAGGGCAGATGGCTGGACTATGACAGGAGTGTTTCTAGTTGGGTGCTGAGACGCCTTGTGAGAGGAGGAAGGAGGCCTGCCAGCATTTCCATTTCCTACTTCACACCCTTGGCTTCCAAGAGCACTTAAGTTCCTATGCAGTTAATGTCCTTCCAGAACTGCCCCACTCTCAGACTTGTAATTACAACTCTGGGTGTGTCCATAGAGCTCTTTAATTCAGTTTCAAAAACCCACGTTTCCTAAACAAAATGATACTGCTGCACTCTTTTAACCGTTTCTCACTCTCTCTTTCCCCCGTTATTTGGGTGGTAGATCTGAAATCCAAGGCCTCTGCATTCTAGGCAAATGCTCTCAGAGTAAACTGGACCCTAGCTGTCTCCTTTTTCAAAGTGCGTTATCTGACCTGGTAGAGACACACCAATGTCTGCTTCCAGAGCCACCAAGGAAGACCTGGTATGGCACTCTGCCGTTTGATCTTTCATTCCAGTGCTGTTGGTTCTTAAACTACAGTGTAGCTATTACTTCCTTCATGAATGCCCAAGATGGACACATTAGATGCAGAGAAAAACATTTACAATCCAGTGAAGTTTAGTCACAGAAAATGATTATCTGATGGATACAAACATGCAACTTTACTTCTTCCTCAAAAAACCTAAACCCAAGGATCAAATTAAAATCTTCCATGTTTCAAGTTCAATTCCAAGAGTTCTACACAACTATTGCATGACTTTAAATGCATGTTCACATTCATTTTTCTGTATTTTTCCTATATGTACCCTAAATACATTTCTGAGACCATAATTTTAGGGAAAGATTAAGAATTTTATATTATATTGTGAAGCTCTAACAAATTCTTGGTTTATTTGTGTTCATCTCTTAGCTCAATGTCATATGACCTTGGCATAATACCAAGTCTATTGACAAAAGGTATATCAGATACGAAATTCTTAGTTCTGTGTCATAAATAGATTTGGGTAAAACCGCAAGCCTTCCACAGAGTCATCCCGGCAAAGATGGCCCATCTTCTCTGCGAGTAGCAGCCTGAGAACAAAGCAGAAAAAACCCACAATGATCTGCTCATCCAGAAACATACCACGCACCATGGCAAGGGGCAAGAACATACATACCTTTCTTTAGCCAGTAGGACAGACATCCCCACAAGTTTGGCAAACTCTTCCGATGTCAAGGATCCCCTTTCTGAAACCTGGCAACACACAACAGAAAAAACGAAACACCAATGACCATGATTATCTTAGTACTCTTAGAGGAATACCTAACAGTACATGAATGAAATGTTTTACTGGGTTTTCTACTAAATAGTCACTACAAAACTAGATCTTTTTTATTTCTGCGTTTATCTTTATGTGCATGAGTGTTTTGCCTGCAGAGATGCTCATCACATTTGTGATTGGTGCCCACAGAGATCAAGAGGGGGAGGCATCTCTTTGGATGGTTGTGAATTACCATGAAAGTTCTGGGAACTGATTCTAAGTCCTTTCCAAGAACAAGTGTTGGAAACTATGGAGTCATCCCTCTGGTCTGGCAGACCTGAATTTTAGCTGTTCAACTCTACAAACGATGATGGGCTCACAACAGGCAGAGCAGAGGTTACATACCAACAGCTGTGTTGTAGGAAGGCATGGTATGAAAGCCTAGAAAAAGCTACTGGGTGTTCTGAAAAGGAACATAGCAAACTGTGTGTGTGTGTGTGTGTGTGTGTGTGTGTGTGTGTGTATGTGTGTGTGTGTGTGTGTGTGTGTGTTACAGGCTTTGGTAAGGGGCTCATAGAGTTATAATCAGGTCCAGTAAGGATGCGACTAGAAAACCTGTTCCCAATGCTGAGCTGCAGTGGGAAAGCAAGCACCTCACTAAGATGTTAAGAGAGACTAAAACTTCAAAAACTTTTACTATGGATGCTGATTAAATGAACATCATTGTCAGTCACAAAGCATTGAGCCTGTGACTCTGCTTCTCCAGTTGCTATGCATTTGGGTCTTTGTGGCCAGCTCTAAGGACGGAGGAAATGAATTCACATACTGTCTCCAGGGCTGAGGCCACCATCTCCTCTTCTCTGTGGGTTTGAAGCTCAATTACCATGACGCCGCTGTCAAACACCCGAAGCCTGAAAAACACAGACGTGAGAAGAGTGTGGATTTGTCTAGGATGTTCAACCCCAAGGGGGAAGCAAGCCAAGCTCTACTTTACTTAATGGCTAGGCCTGAGGACAATCACACACAGCTTAAGCCATAATGACCACACGTAACCATAACATAACTAAAGAGCTCAGGAATTAACCAACAATAAAACTGTGAACCACGATGCACATCACACAGTTTCTCTGGTCCAGGGTGCTTTTAGCCTGAGGATAGGAGAACGCAGTTCAGGCTGAACATCTGAACTGCTGAAGGTTCAGAGGCCTGTTCTTCTTCCTTTCCTCTTTGAAATTACAAGTCTTAATCTATATCAGGACACACTCCTCCCTGACAGGATAAAGGCCAGAGGGCAGAAGATGCTTGCAGTACCAGGGGAACTCAGGTCATACATAGCGTAACCCCAAGAGGGTACATCTGGCTTCCATGTACAGTGGTAGGCATGGGTGGACTTTCAGGTCTCCTCTGTGCAGAGTCATGGCTATAGTTGGCAACCCTCATGTGGCGATGCCTTTACCTGACAGGTAATTTCAGGGCTTCCAGCATCTTGCATGCATTCACTAAATCTTCTGGTGAGAGCAACTAATGAGAAAAAGAAACCCAGTTTACATTGCAAAGCAATAGAATGGACCTTTATAATTATAATAACCTCTAAAACAGAATAAGAAGTCAATGACATATGACCCAATCATTCCACTTCTGAGCATATACCCATACCCTACACAGAGATTGCTGTACCCCTCTTATTGCTGCTTTATCCACTAGAGCAAAGAATTGGATTATGAAATGTTGGTATACATACATATTTATGAAAATGTTAAATATACATATATATACCATTTCATATATATATATGTATATGGAATGTTACTCAGATCTATAGAAAAATAAAGTAAAAATTTATAGAGAATGACAGACTTAGAATATACAATATTAACTGAAGTCATATATCCTAAGAAAAAGAACCCTACATGTTCTCTCTCATATGTGGAAGCTAGCCAATAATGTGTGAATGTGTGTATGTGTGTATGCGGGTACAATATGTGACAGGAAGAAAAGGTAACAAAAAAGGTTAACTATAAGGCGATGAAGAACTAAATGCAGATGATGGACACAAGTTATGAAAGAGGATAAAAAGCTATTTTTCTGGTCATTATTATGTCATGAAATTTTTGGCTTTGATGGTGGGTAAGTATGTAAAACATATTTGATTCTGAAAGGGTAAAATTTAATGTGAAGCCTCATAAGCTTCCATTTTGAATGCCAATTCTAACTATAAAGAAGTTCGTTGAGTTGTTCAGACTTTGGGTCTGGTTAATTTTGGTATGTGACATTTTCATTTCCAAGTTTTGTTTAAATAATAAAGTTTAAAACACTTTTTATAAAGTAGAACAATGCTATTCATCAAGTACCGTGGATCACTCCATTACGAGGGCAAAAGAGCAAACAAAGAGGCCAAGGAGCACTCAGCGGTGCTGTCCAATGGAGACGCAATGCGGACCACACGCATGACTGCACAGTATCTAGTACCCCATAAAAAGTGAAAAGCAAAAGGGGCCGGGATGCAGCTGAGCCACAGAATTCCTGCCCAGCATGTGCAAAGGCCCTGGGCCCAAGCACCAGCCCTGTAATAGATAAAACAACTGTTTTTGAGATACGGGCATGGATGCTGACCTTTGTTTGTTTTATACTGGTTTTATAAATTCACAACCAGTGGCTTCTGTTTTGAATAATGAATGTGGCCTTAATAAGTCTGCACTGTGGTGGACACAAGCATAGCTCTGAGTCACAAGGGACGGCTCCAGAGCCAGCTAAGCCCAAGTACAACACTCGCCAAACCACTGTCTCTAGGTGACCTCAATCAAACTATTTAATCCACACCTTCACTCCTCATTCCCAAGTTACCTGCGAGGTGAGGACAGTAAAAAAGCAGTGACAGAGGCTGAGTGAGCTAACTCTTGGCGTGTGCCTCATGGACAACCGTGTACTTGATGACAGAATGGCGGCTGCACTTGTGGGACTTGGGTGAGTCATATGACCGTCACAAGTCTACACTGGACTGCTGGGGCACCAAGAGCACCTGGAGAGAGTCTCAGGTCAAGGCACCGGGTGTGATTGGGCAAAGGGACCTAAGGAGAGCTCCTACTGATTCCCAGCCAAAGGAGTGTGGTAGCTTTGCCTCTGCACTGTCTACCAAGAAACCGGAGTTAAACACTGCAGAGGAGCCGCTTCCACTCACGCGGTACACACAACTGAGAGCGGACAGACGGCACTCACTGCAAACCTTTACACGGTCCCACGGCAGTGAAGTGCATCACGCAAGGTCACTCAGCAGTCACTGGCAGAACCGGGAACAGAAATCTATTTTTTGAATCCCAGCACAACCCTTTTCCTGTCACCACATTGCTTCTGAAAACAGCTCTGATGCTCACACCCATCCTCAGTGTATACTCACTATAGGGGGAGTTCTACCGTTAGCTAAAAGACCACTGAAATATGCCATTCTTACTTCCATTCCTCGAGCTCGGTTCACCAAACAGTATACCTCTGTGAGTGACATTATTCCCCCGCGTTCCTGTTTAAATGGGAGAGAAGGACAAGTATTTAGCTTAGCATTCCTTAACAGAAAACACAATCTGAGTGAAATCATAAATTACATTTCCTTTTTCTAAACAGCTATATTTAAACCGGAGAACCTATTTACATATTTTGTATTACCTCAAATTCTATATATGGCCTTTAATATCGTTTAGAAGAAAAGAGGGAAACCACACCACATTTCAAGAACTGTACTTAGTCCTTGAGTGCAGACATGGGATTCAGATTAAGAAAGACCTGAGAAGTCAGGGGCCACGTGAGACACAGCCACACCGGCAAGCACTGGAAGCACCCAAGAGGCCAGAGTAAAGCTGGCAGCTGTGGCAGCTTCGACAAGCATCACCTTGGATAATTCAGGAAGGTCAGGATGAGGCCAAACCCTGTAAGAGGGACCAGAGCCTTGATAAACTGTGGACATCAGTCAGGGATCACACTTGGGTATCTGCTGCCACAAACAGGCCCAGAGCCACCCCCATCACCGGCAAGTGCAAGGAGGCCATGGCAGAGTTTTGGAAAACTGCTCTGACTTTTTTAGCAGGAGGGCTGAGAAGAAGGCTAAGGGTATTGGAGACCATGTGCCCTGGGGCTTGAGCCTCTCAGAGGAAGGCTCACTAAATGCTAACAAATGTTTATGTTTATTTAATGCCTTAACTAATTTCAGTTAGTAAAAGAGTAATGAATTAACTGCTACCATAATTTTGCAAGCCTTTAATATTATAAAAAACTGCTCTCTATAAGAGTTTACAGGGAACGCACAGAATGCAAACATGTTAATACTACATAGTCGGTCAAACTAGACTCTGTGGGATAAACTACCAGTTTCTCGAAGAAGAAGTTGGAAACAAAATACAAACAGATAAATAAACTCGGGGCTGGGGCTGCTGCTTAGGCAAACACCACATTTGCCCAGGATACACAAGGTCCTGTGTTTATCATAAGCACAAAAGATTAAAACCAAACCAAAACAACTACCATAAAAAAGAAGGGAAGGAAGGAAGACAGGAAGGAGGGAGGGAGGTAGGGAGGAAGGAAGGAAACAAAAAAATTGAGACTAATGAACCAATTGTAGTGTATCTAGATATGAGAAAGCAAACTGTAAGAGCAAATGTGAACACCAAGCAGACATTTCACATTAAGGGTTCCTAGCGTTTTAAGTGAGAAAGTGATACTGTAGCTGGGCTTAAAGTAGTCTTCTATCACTATAGGTATTAGAATATTAACATGTAAGACAACCTGGAATCCGCTTTAAAATAATTCTAAGTGGAGGATGACTTACTGATAAAGCTCCGTGATGGGCACACAGGGATTTGCTATGGTGCTTATTTTGGCATATATTTAAAACATATAAAGACCAGCTATGGGGCCAAGCATGGAGGCTCACACCTTTAATCCCAGCACTCAGTAAGCGGAGGCAGGCAGATCTCTCAAGGGCAACACAGTGAGCTCCAGGGCAGCCAGGGCTATATAGAAAGGTCCTGTCTAAAAACAAACAAACAAAAAACTAGATATAGTCAGATATGGTGGTTCATGTATAATCCCAGCCCTTAGGCGGAGGTGGGAAGATGGTGAGTTCAAGGCCAGCCTGGGCTACAAAATGGGATCACATCTCAAAAACAAACAAAAAAAATAGACTAGAGAGAAACATAGTTACACAGAGAAAGATCTTTAGAAAACAGAAAAAACTTCCCATCAAACAGACTTTAAAAAGCATAAACATCTGAAATGGAAATTAAAAGCAATTTTGAAGATTATAGTCAAAAGCTAATTAATAAGTATACTAAGCCAATTTAATATTCCTGGGAAAACAACATGCCATTTAATGTTAACCACACAATGAGAACAGTTAGGCTCTTGAGATTTCAGATGACATGGAAATAATTTGGTAGAATTTTCAAAGTATACTGGGGTTTGGATTTACCTACCTCCAAAGGTGCCTGCAATATTCCAGCCAACTGTTTGGCTAGCTGCATGTGGTACTGTGTGCCTGAGCCGTAGGTTTCCCTGGTAACTGGGTTGGCTATTCCCATACTCAGCAAGTAGGACTTAAACCTGATGGTCTATGAGAGAGGGTGGGACATGTATCAGTAACTGTAAAATTAGTTTCTCCTCACAACATTTGAAATTTTTCACCATAAACTTTAATGTGGCACAATTATTTCTCTATATAGCTGTGTCTTCTACTGTTCCCACGCTGTGAGCTTCTTAGTTGTTTCCTTGAAGACATCTAGTTAGTCTCCTTCCTTCTACAGCAGTCTCATACTGTTTATTTTCAAAGTTTTATGTGGCAGAAAGGTAATAACTATGCTGCTTTTAATGCTGACCAAAAACTAAAACTGAAAACTTACAAAGGAAAAATGGATATGACCAGATTAGCCAAACTTAACACATCAGACATCAAAAACAGATATGTACGGAGCAGCCACTCTTTTAGACAGTTCAATAGCTTTATTTTCTACACCATAAGAAAGAGCACTGACCGCCGGGCGTTGGTGGCGCACGCCTTTAATCCCAGCACTCGGGAGGCAGAGACAGGCGGATCACTGTGAGTTCGAGACCAGCCTGGTCTACCGAGTGAGTTCCAGGACAGGCTCCAAAAACAATACAGAGAAACCCTGTCTCAAAAAAAAAAAAAGAGCACTGACCAATCTTGAGCCCTTGTAGAACTAGTGAGAAAGAATATGATCTACTTTCTCCTTAGCATTTTCACATGCAAGAAACAAAAGCATGACGCTAAGAAAGCAGGCCAGTGAGATGGCTCAGTGGGTAACTGTGCCTGCCACTCAACACCCGAATTCAATGCCCAGTACCTACATGGCAGAAGGGACAATCAGCTCTTGCAAGTTGTCCTCTGACCACCACTGCATGCTGCAGCACAGCTCACCCAATAGAGCAGTAAGCGTAATTAAAAAAGAGAATTCTGGAAGGCAGCAAACTGTGAGAAGCTACAGGTGTAGGTCAGTGGGAGGGAGAGAGAACCGGTCATCCGCAAGAACATCACTGCATCCAATCTGGCATCTGCCCTTTCAAAGACAAAAGTGTCCTCACCTCATCTTCTGTGACGTCGCCTTGTTTCTCTTTAATCTTATTAGCGATTGATTTCGATAGCTCCACCATTTCCTTAGCCTGAAAAAGAAAGGGCAAAGACTCGTCTAAGAAAATAAGCTTTCAAGGTCACCGTGACTGATTCTGAGTGGAGCATGTGACACATACCTTAATCATTAGCTTGCTAAGGTCTTCAAAGGCCTGAAATGAGAAATGAAGTTTGTATTGTGAGCTTTTAAAGAATTAAAGTGCTTTAAAGCAATGATACAAACATAAAATTTTCTTACAAATATCGCTTTATTATTGATTGGATAAGCAACACATCTACCTCATTTTGAAAATCTACTTCAAGAAATTGTAAACTTCCTCAAACAAACTCCAACCAAACGTTTCATAGATTATTATTTACTGTTCTTGGACACATACAAGAAAATCTCCATCTGGGGTGTGGCTCAGTGACAGAATGCTTTCTGGCACTGGTGAGGTCCTGGGTGGTGCCATCGCTAACACACTCACAGACACACACACACACACACACACACACACACACACACACACTGTTAAAAAAAGTCACTTTTTTTTCCTGATAGGAGATCAAAAACCAAAGACTGTAAAGAGCTTTTTCAGGTTGAAAATACCCAGCAGCAGGAATACTTTTTTTGGACATAATTATAACTGAGCCTTAGCATCAGAATATTAAACCATGACACTTACAGTTTTGTATACAGTGATTACTGTTAAAAAAGTATCCAAATGCCTTCCAAACACATTAAATAAAACTACTACAGCATGTCCACTCCAAGGGTTTCTTCAAATTCAGTCATACATGTTTCTAATACACTATTTCAGGTTATTGAAAATACACTGTAGAATTTCTCAAGTAAGTTATGTGCATGGATATTATCCTCCCTCTCTGCCTCCCCCCACCCTCTCATCAACTGAGCAGCTTGCCCTTGAGTGAAAACTCAATGCACACAGTGATCTCACATACAAGACCGTGGTTCTGCTCAGTATGCCAGTCTGCAGGAAAGCACCCCCACCTGCAAAACCTTTTTTCCTTTTGCTCAAAGAATAGTGTAAGAATAATCGTGCAAGATTCTCATAACCAGCTCACTAAGCTAACACTGAAAACAAAAGGAACGTGCACACACCTCACAGGAATTTCCTCTGATAAACAAAGGCTTAGACACTGGGTTCTTATCGGCCAGAACCAGCAGATGCAGGAAGCCCTATGTGGGAGGCTCCAGGCAACAGCTATGAAACTGAGTCAATTCTAACATTTAAATCACACAACCAGCCTCGTTTTCAAAACTAGAACAAAGATGCACGGTGCAAACTTAGATTTTTACAGTTACTATACAAACTGCCAATAGATTTATTTTACTTGTTTAAGTCAAAATAGTATGAGAAATCACTATTGTACATTTTCACAGCAAAAAATACTAAAATATTGAGTTTACACGGAGTACAACCTTTATCACTTGTAATCAATAAAAACAAATGTAAATACCACAGTGTTTACAAAGAATTGGCTATAAAAAGTTTTAAGTAATTACAGCGCTCAAACAAAAGCTTCCTTGTTTTTGCTTCTATTACTATTATCAACTTTATTTTCAGAAAACTATCAGAAAAAGTGTGGGAAGGTATATAAAATAAAGCCAGACACATGCGCATGTCCATTCTTTATGTCCTCCAGTTTACGGAGTCTTCTGTCTTCCACACCACAGTCGAATTTCCACTGCAGCTCTGCTTTAAGCCACAGACACCGTGTGCTGGTCTGCAGTGACTGCCAGTCACTGCTCTGGCTATTCATAACTAATAACTCCCAGATGCTTGAATCTTCTGTTCAGTACTGGTGAGTCTTGCCTTTGCAGATCCCATTCCTTTCCCTGGATCTCTCTCTTATCCCTGTTGGCACTGCTAACACTACCCATTCTTCTCTCCTTCAATCCCATTTTCTCACAGGTCTTCCTTGGCCCCACCAAACATCAAGGATCCCTTCTGGATTCTGAGATTTCTTGTCACAAAGTGTGCCTCACATGCCAATAACTGCCAGTCTGCCTACCTACCTAACCAGAGGACTGTGACAGGAGCCACAGCTTCTCATGTAGGTCCATGTGTGGAGAAAGAACTATTTCCTAAATAAGTCAGTCCCTGTAACAGAACATAATATCTGTGGAGAATTCTTGGAGGCGTGGGAATCCATGAAAATGGAAATAATTTATTTCTTGAAATAGGATAGCTTATTTCATAACTTAAGAACTTTATTTTGAACATCCCAACAACCTGCAGAAAAAGGAATCCTAATAATAGATAACAGCTCAGTATTCCATACCCATGCCTGTAAGTATGAACACAAAGATAAAACAGTTAAAATGTGCCAAGGTGGGGTAGATCTGCCACAGGAAATGGGAGACTATGGACTTTTAGGTAAACTAAATACATCCCAAAGTACAGAGCGGAGCTAGTCACAGCTGCAAGAGGACGTTCAGGGATTACCTCAGAAATGTTTTTGTCAGTTTCTTTTCTTTTTTCTTCGAGTTTCCTTTCGATACCTACAATTCCTACAGCTCTTACTCTTCCTGGCTGGAAAAACAAAACCAATCAATCATGAAATGTTCAAAACGGAAGGAAACAAAACCCTTTGTAAAGACCCTGACTATTCCAAGATGGGGAAGAGCCCACAAAGAAAACAGCACACAATTGCTTCTAGCTTCCTTTCAAACATCTGTCTCTTTCTGGCTGCACATAGTGACCTTCAAATGCTAAATAAAAAACTTAATATACAATCAATGGCATGCATGTTTTTCTCTGTAATGTGGGTATAATTAAACTTCTTACTCATTTTTTACTGTTTGGAGATCTATCATGTATTAGATATGAATAATTTATCAAATATCTAAAACTGGGAGCTGAAATTCTTATACTTGACAAGTTATTAAGCTGTTTTCTCTCATGTATGTGCCTGTCCACAGCTGCGTGATTGATTCAGACTAATTCCTAGGAAAATTCATTTAAAAAAAAGAAACCAAAACTCTACTGTTTTGTTTTTTGACA